AATATTTAAAAATTATAAAATTTAGTTTGAGGATTTAGAATTATCACAACCCTTCTGGTTGAAAACCCCTTTTACTTAATATAAGGACTCGTATAAAACCCATATTTAAGTTTAAAATCAAAATGTTTAAATTGTGGCAATTCCTACTCAAATTCTGATTGAATTTAATTTGAGTTGATAAATTTTTATCTTAGACCTATTTTGGGAAGTTGGCTTTTTATTCCATCCGAGCTTGGTAGTTAAACTCTACTATGGTGACGATACTATAGGAGAGGTCTTGCGAAAAAATAGCTCAATGTCAGGATGATAAAAAGCTTAACACCCCAAAACTAAAAAGCACTACAAAATAATCAATTTTTCTCTCTGTTTTTTTTAATGTTTTTTTGTTGCAAAAAAAATAGAAGTCAATTCTAAAGACAACCATTACTCTTGACCAAATTGAAAATAGTCCTGAGGCCATAAAATTTTACTTAAATTACTTAAGGCTACGGAAATTTTACGAGCTTAAATTACTCAAATTGGGCTCACCCAAATTGAACCTCAATTAGGTCATAGGATAAAATAGATGCTCGCTCTAAATTTTATGATCTAAAAATTCATACAATGTTAATAAATATCCTAATCATATATCTCAAAATTAAAAAATAAAATAATATTTTATAATCTAAAAATTTATAAAATATTAATATATATCATTATCATATACTTTTAGCCGTGAATAGTATGGGTTGAATGTTAGTATATATATAGCACATAATTTTAAATTTTAAATGGAAAAATCTATACTGTATATTATAGCATATTGACATTGCAATGAGGAGCTATATGAGAAAACATCATACAAATTTTCTTGATTTATTTTGATTTTAAATAGTTAAAAAAAAAACTTATTTGCTCACTATCATGTAAGCATAAAAAATATAATTATTCCACATTTTGTGATTTTCAAAAGGAAACAACACCAATCCGTTTCCAAATTCAAATTTATGGGCCTAATTATATTCCATGACATCTAAAATAATGACAATCCCATAATAGGAAAACTTCCATTGAAAAATATATATATTGAAAGTATGATTAATTGTTCCTAACTCAACCCCACCCTAAAACCCTAAAATATTAAAAAGTCATATGTATTGTTAAGGCTCATACACAGCATAGACAACAAGAAGCAGTTCTTACAAGTTCAGAAAGTCACTCGATAATAAAGCTATTTCAAAGTTACTGGTTAGTCAACCATTCCACCTCAATTCTCATTATGTTATTTATTGTATAATTGAATTTCTTTAGTTGTTTTATATCTAATAATTGTTTGATTTTAAACTAATCCAAAGTCTTGTGTTCCATTTAAGAAGAATCAGCTATTTATTGTTTGATAATAAAATTAAAATAATGTCAGAAAACACCCCTATTTGTTGTGCTAACGTACTTTTGAATAAATTTGAGATATTTTGTTATTTTGCTCGATAGTTTGAATATGTTTGAAATGCATATATCTGGATCATGCAATTTTTCTAACTATGTACAGTCTACTCCAATATGAAATATTGGGATGTTTAGTTTGGTTTTAGAGTCAATTTGAAAGGTTATGATTTAAAAAAAATAAAAATATAAAAAAATAATAATAATTTAAAACCAAAGCTAGACTGTTTAAAGTTATTTATTCCCAAAAAAAAAAAAATCCGAATTATCAATCAACAAGAAATCAATTAATTAGTACAAAACATTGCAACTACTTTAATTCAATTGATTTCTATTTTTATTTAGAACCAAGATCAAATCATCTTTTGAAAAAATAAAACTGAACTGTATAGTTTAACTTTGTTTACAACCATTTTTTTTTTATTTTTTTTGCCATTATAGAATAACCATGATGGTCAGCTTTTGCTGTTAACTTGCTAAGGTAACTTTAATTTTTGTGGTAGCTCTATTCGCATTCCTTTTTTCACATCACATACTATGTTTTTAACTGACTATGTAATTTTTGCATAAATAACATAATTGCCCTTCTTAGAAGATGAATAAAGAGAAAGGTAAAGGCATAGGAAGGGAATATTTAGCTAATGGACAAGTGTAAATAATTTTATTGTAACTTTGCATAATAAAAATAAAATTTTGATATATCTACATCTACATATATGTTATTGCAAAAGAATGTTTCATCCGAAATGCACTACTAGCTTTACAGTATTGATCTTCACAATTTTTTTTTTAAAAAAATAAAATTATATGTTAAGAAATACACATGGCATAGAATTGGTCCATCTAACCATATTTATGATTTTGGAATTTAAAAATTTTCCATATAGAAAGGTAAGAAAGAAATTTAGTCATATTTAACTATATCATCAGGTGAAGTTTGACGTACGAGAAATTAAAATTACAAAACTCATAAGATGGAATGTATTATTTTAAGTTAAATGTACTCTTTGTAATTTATTCTAATTTTCTTTAGTTTTCATCAATTAATTATGACAAGCACTTCTTATTAAAAACTTAGAATACACATTAATGACATAACCACAAAAAAATATCTAACCAGCTAAAAAAAATAAAATAAAATAAAAATCTTCAATGTAATGCTGATGAAAATGTTTAAAATCTAATTGATTCTAATCTATTTTTGGTAAGGTTACCAAGTTATGGTTCTTAGGTTAGAAGCTTCAGGAAGGGAATCCGAAGCACGGGTTCGAATCCCGCTTGTGACTATACGGGGGTTGCACTCTGTTATCATTTAATTTTAAAATTATTTATTTATGTCCGTGCATAGCTAGGGTATTATACTAATATATGTATATTTTAAAAATCATAAATTATGAAATAATTAGATTTTAGTAAATTGATTTTATATAGTGGCATACAAATTAAAATTTTGAAATAGTTGAGCATACTTTTCTTTTAAAAGTCATAATTTATGGAATAATTAGAATTTATTGTTATTGTTAAATTAGAGTTAATCAATAGAAATTTTTTTAATAAAAATTACTTGGAAATCACATTTCAAAAACTTGTATACTAAAAAGTTCTATGAATTTTCTTATAGACATGCAAGTCCCATTGACTTGGTGAGTTATTCTAGGAGATCCTTTTAGTCTATTTTTTTCGAATTTTTGGATTGATATGCCTTTTCTTTTTTTTTTTTTAAATTAGCCAATGAGAGGGAGATTTCATAATCTGGCTTTGGGCCATGGTAATAACCGGGCTAAAATTGGTCCGAGCATGTTTGAGCCGAGCTGGGCTGGGCCAATCCAGGGGCAGTTCGCTCGGTTAAAGCCCAGGTCCGATTTGGTCGGGATAACTTCTCTGCCAGCCCGGTTCACGTTGTTTGTTCATTGAGATCGACGGGCAAGATCCATCGCAGACCGGCCCAACTGAACAAGAGCTCGGTCATAACGGAAGGCTGCTAAGCTCGGCCATAACGGAGCTCGGCTAGGAGCATTGCTTGTCTCGAAAGTAATACAGTCGTAGGAAGATGGGGTAGCGCTGCCGGGCTGTCCGTTTGCGCCAACGCCATTTGGAAGTTTGGTTAGGTGGCGTTTAGCTGTATCTGCGCTGACACGTGGGAAAGTGGGATAGGAGAACAGGTTCACACGTCAAAAGGCGAATGGATGCAAAGGCACGCGCAGAAGGTATATAAGCGTGACTGCGCCCCCATGCTGGGCATGGAACATCTTCTGGTGAGAGAAACACAAACACAAGGTCTTCTCTCTCTGAGTGCATGCTGACTTGACCGTCGGAGGGGTTTTCCGGCAACGCACCGCCGGGTAGCTTACCTTTGTTGTGTTCGCAGGTCGATCGGAGGAAGGCGCAGCTTGGACGCGAGGAGTATGGAAGGTTATAGATATTTGGCCCCCGTACAATTGGCACCGTCTATGGAAAGCTTGAGCAGACACAACCTTGCCCTCCAAGCTCATCGGATCACTTTCTATGGCAAACAACGACGAAGTACCATTGTCTACCATCGACGGTATTACCCTAGAGTCAGTCTGACGGAGTGACGGATTTCCTACCGTTCCGAACATGGCGGGCCTGAAGACCTCACCAGGAGGACTTCCTAGAAATGTGTGAGATAAGCGCGCTAGGAGCAATGGTCACTCGCGGAGTCCAGACGGACACTAGCGGCGAAGAGAGTTGTACGCTCAACGCTTGGAGCACAAGTTGAGGGACCAAGATGTCGTCATCCAGAGAATGGCGGCTGAGATGGAAGCTCTCAAACGGCAAGTCAAAGAGAAGGGTGTTGCAGGAGTGGGTGACTACAGTGAGCACACCCAACCCCGCCGCTCAAGCAGCCAGAACCAACGGCACACGCCCTCCTTTTCCATCGCTAGAAGCTATGGGGTTAGAGACTCAGACCCGCCTGCAGAGAAGTCTTGCGCGCAAGATAGTAGTTACCATTCCTCACGTCCGTCGATGACATCGAGATATTCCTACTCCGCCCATTCGAAGGACTTGAGGGACGTCTTGAAAGAACGAGCGCGCTGACAAGAGATTCAAAGGGTGCCGGCGCTCCAGCGGTTATCCTATGGAGGTCGTGCTAGTGAAGAAGTCATAATGTCGCTGCCCCGCTCAGTCGTGTCTGTCCCTTTGGACAAAGATTTAGCATGGCTGAGCGCCACCCTCTTCTCCTTTGAGATAGAGACCACACCGCTCCCAATGGGCTTTCACCAGTCCAAATTTACGCTTTATGACGGAAAAACCAATCCGTACATGCATGTAAGCCACTTCCGGCAAGTTATGGCTGGATATAGGCGTAATAACGCTCTCATGTGCCTTATTTTCCCATCGAGTTTGAGCGAGTTGGGCTTGAAGTGGTTTGAGAGGCTTCTGGAGGAAAGCATCGAAAGGTGGCAGCAGTTAGCAGAAGCATTCGTGACTCAATTCAAAACCAACACTAAAACGCCAAAGGAAATTAACCACCTCCTGAGCGCCAAGATGGAGTCAGACGACTCTCTCAAAGCGTACAACACCAAATATTGGGAAACATTCAATGAGATCCTAGATTGCCCAACCAACCTGGAAATCACCCAATATAAGCACGGTCTCCCGATCGGACATAGACTGAGGGACTCGCTCATGATAAACCAACCGACTTCCATGGAGCTTTTGATGCAGGGCATCAATGAGCACATCCATGTAGAGGACAATGCGACGGTGTCCACTGCAAAGAAAAATTAGGTGACAACGGATAAGAGGGTGGCTGGAAAAGTCCATGCGGTCGGACATGAGACAAACCGTCCACATGATCGCGCAAGGGAATCAGACCATGGTTCGGATCATAGGAATCGGGGTAAAGGTCCCACAACGACCGAACAAATTATCCGCGCGATAAGGCAGCAGATGCAACAGAAAGTAGAACGCTCAGACGGACATCACCACGGTTTTTAAGATTCCAATCTACTGCATACTTAGTGAAATTCACAACGAGGTTTACGTTCGGTTTCCCGCTAAGTTAGGTGACGTGCAAAAGGGCTTCAATCCGCGGTACCGCTGCACATTTCATAGGGAGCGAGGGCACTAGATGGAGGACTGCTTGCCCCTGAAGCAACACTTGGAGGAGTTAGTCGCTACCGATCACTTGGACTATTACATCGATGGGGGCGTCAGGGCCACACACCACGCACCAGCTGAGCCAAGTGGTTTGGATGACCTAGAGGCACCCCCCCAAAGAAATGGTCAACGTGATCCACGATATAGTAGAGCCGGCGCGGGTATGCGAGCTCTGAAGGATGATCAAAAAAGCAGAACATATGAGGGAAGTTTTGTCAGTCCAGCCCGCGATCAAAAGAGGTAAGACCGAGGAGAAAAATGTGCTTAGTTTCTCAAGCAGCAATCTTGAGCGCATTCAAACACTGCACAATGACGCCCTGGTGGTCACCCTTCGCGTCAAGGACTTCGATGTTAAGCACATCTTGATCGACCAAGGCAGCTTGGTCGAGATCATGTACCACGACGCCTTCAAGCAACTCAGATTTCGAGATACGGACTTGGCTCCGGCAACTTCGACACTGGTTGGTTTGAACTCATAACCAGAGTGGCCAATGAGAAAGATAATCCTGCTGGTCAAAGCCAAATCCGTAGTCAAGCAGGTGGAATTCTGGGTGTTGAAGGTGTCGTTTACATACAATTTTATCCTTGGTAGAGGATGGCTTCACACCATGCAAGTAGTGGCGTCGACCTACCACCAGGTTATGAGGTTCCCCTCGGCTATAGGGAAAGTTGAGGAGATTTGGGGCGATCAAGTCATGGTGAAGTAGTGTTTCATGGTAGTGAATGGGAGCCGAGCAGCCAAAGGCTTCGTGCAAATGATCGAAGGTCCGAAAGACCAAAATGTCACGGATAATGTGGGCACTAGGGCCAAGGAAAAGGCTGTTGAAGAGTTGGTGGATGTGCAGATCGACACAGAGAATCCCAACAAGTTCTTTTTCCTGGGATCTAGCCTGACCGCCCAAGAAAGGATCGAGATAGTGGAGTTCTTGGTGGCGAACATCGAAGTATTTGCATGGATGCCATACGACATGCCAGGCATTGATCCAAGCTTTATTTGCCACCAATTCAATGTCTTCCCGGACGCTCGTCCGGTCATTCAAAGAACGAGGAGATCAGCCCTTCATCACGCTGAGGTAGTCGCGGAGGAAGTCAAGAACCTGCTCGAAGCTAGGGCAATCCAGGAAGTGCACTACCCTCGGTGGGTTTCAAACACGGTCATAATACCCAAGAAAAATGAAAAGTGGCGAGTTTACGTTGATTACAAGACGGTCAACCGAGCTTTCCCTAAAGACAGCTTTTCACTGCCCAGAATAGACCAGCTAGTGGATCTTACAGCTGGATACAACCGGCTTAGTTTTTTAGATGCCTATCGCGGTTATCACCAGATCGTCATGCATGTACCCGACTGCGAGATAACCTCTTTTACGACACCAAGGGGATTGTTATGCTATAGAGTCATGCCTTTTGGTTTCAAAAATGCTGGGGCGACTTTCCAGAGGATGGTGACCAAGATGTTCGCCCCTCTGTTAGGCCACACGATGGAGTCTTACATCGACAACATGGTGGTTAAGAGCAAGCAGCAGGCCGACCACTTGTCCGACCTAGCTAAGATGTTCTCCATTCTTAAATGACACAAGCTTCGCCTAAATGCATCAAAGTGTGCCTTTGGCGTGGGATTAGGGAAATTCCTAGGCTTCCTAGTCACCAATCCAGGCATCGAAACGGACCCCTTACAAATCAAAGCCATACAAGAATTGAAGCAGCCCAACTTGGCAAAGGACGTGCAACATCTTGCCGGTATGGCAGCCGCGCTTAACTGATTCATAAGTCGGTCATCACATCATTGTCGCCCTTTCTTTCAAGCCTTGAATTCCAAGTTTTCATAGGACGAAGAATGTGACAGGGCCTTGGCCGAGCTCAAGACGTATTTGTCTTCTGCCCCACTCTTGGTGACACCCAATCTCGGTGAAGAAATCTACCTTTATCTGGCTGTTTCTCAACATGCAGTTAGTGCGGTTCTTGTCCGGGCAGAAGGCATCCAACATCTCCCAATCTTTTACGTGAGCAAAACCTTGCTACCGGGAGTGTCGAGGTACTTGCCGCAGGAAAAACTTGCTTTGGCGCTAATGATGGCCTCTAGGAAATTGGCACACTACTTTCATGCTCACACAATCGTGGTGTTAACCAAATTTCCCCAGAAAGCCTTATTTGAGCAGGTAGATTTCTCCAGTCGAATTCTGAAGTGGGCAGTCGAATTAGGGCAATTCGACGTCAAGTTTCAACCCCGAACCCCCATCAAAGCCTAAGCATTGGCCGACTTTGTTGCTGAATTCTCGCCTAGAATTCACCCGGTATGCCCGGTGGATCTTACCGCGGTAGCCGGGGTGAAGGAGGTGAGCGCAACGGAAATTGCAAAACAGAGTAATGTTGGCGACACGGAACTTGCGCCCGTCCGCAAATCCTTCAGTCGGAGGTGTACTTCAGCCCAGCAATGTGACGTTGGATTTTGGAATAACAGGTCAACCTGTTAGATCCGACATCGCATCGCCGAGGGGGGATGAAGACACGTCTGCTAAAATTGTTAACGACAAGCTTGTAGCAGAAATATCCGAACAGCCGAGCAACCGTGATCACCTCAACCTTCAGGCCTCCAAGGATCCTTCAGAATGTTGGAAGCTTTCCATTGGTGAAATATGGAAACTTTTTGTAGGTCGCGCCTCAAATCGGCACGGCGTCGGGCTAGGTATAGCTTTGATCTTGCCGAACGGTCTAACCATCGAACACTTTATCACGCTCGGATTTCCAGCGTCAAACAACGAGGCTGAGTACGAAGCGCTGCTGGCCGGACTTAAAAGCGCGCTCCAATTGCATGCATCCGAGCTAATGGTCTACAGTGACTCTCAACTCGATGTAAACCAAGTGTTTGGAGAGTACGAAGCCAAAGATGATAGAATGGCCAAATACCAAGCTCTAGTGAGAGAACACATCAAGAAATTCCAAGCAATAAGGGTCCAACAGATTGGCCATGAAAAAAACAGCCGTGCAGATAAGTTGGCCGGCCTAGCTTCCATGTTCGACAGATCAACTCCCAACCCTCTCCCGATTGAGTTTCTTCCAAGACCTAGCATTGAGGACTCAGAGCAGACGGAAGTATTGTGCACCAAGCTTGGTCCCTCTTGCATGGACCTTATTATTCTTTTCTTGAAGGAACAGACCCTTCCGACCGACGAAAAGGAAGCACATAAAGTCCGGGAGAAGTCAGAGCAGTTTTGGCTCTCTCTATTTGGCGCTTTATATAAGAAGTCATTAACCGGTCTGTACCTCAAGTGTGTCCATCCAAACAATGTGGAAGCTTTCCTTTCCGAGATCCACAAAGGCATGTGTGGGAGTCACATCGGGGGGAGATCTTTAGCCCACCGCTATTTCGCAAGGATACTGGTGGTCGTGCATGCAAGCAGATGCACAAAAATATGTTAGAAAATGTGAAAAATGCCAAAAGTTCGCCCACCAAATTCACCAGCTAGCTAGAGAACTTCTCTCCCTCACAAGTCCTTGGCCTATTGCAATATGGGGGATGGACATAGTGGGACCACTCCCAACAGTGCCAGGCAACTAGAAGTTCTTCATTGCAGCGACAGATTACTTCATCAAGTGGGTTAAAGCCGAGCCCTTAGCGACCATGAAAGAAAAGGATGTCAAGCGGTTTGTTTGGCAGAACGTGATAACGCGGTTTGGCGTCCCAAAGGCTTTGATTTCTGATAATGGCACCCAATTTGATGGACGACTGTTCAGAAGATTTTGTGAGGAATTGAGATAAAATTCTAAAATTCCACCCCGGCCTACCTTCAGTCCAACGGCCAAGCTGAAGCATCAAATAAGACCATTCTAGATGGGTTGAAGAAAAGGCTGGAGAAAGCAAAAGGCAAGTGGGTCGAGGAAATTCCTAGTGTCCTCTAGGCATATCGGACGACCCCGAGACGCTCAACCGGGGAGACTCCTTTTGCCCTGGCATATGGCATGGAGGCGGTCATTCTGTTGGAGATCAACATGCCCACCATCCGCAGCTAAAATTTTGAGCCCGAGCTGAACTCTGAAGCCATCGCCCTGGAATTGGACCTAGCTGACGAACGCCGAGAAAGGCATTAATCCATGTGACCTCATATCAACAAGAATTGTCCAGAAAGTACAACAAAACACTACACCCCTGTAGACACCCCATTTTTGACAGCCCTCAAGACTTGGTTGTGCTTGCAGGTACATCCAGCCACAAGTTCGATTGCTCGTCGAGTACTCGACTTTCGCGGTGGAACGTCACAGGTTTGAGTTCTTCAAATCCTGTATCCTTTCTGCCCCATTCTTGGACCATGTGTTGGTCCTTTCAGCATGCTTCACATGGTGCACTGTCGGCCACTCTCTGTCACTGCCGGCCATGCATTTGTCCCTACCTGCCATTGATGAAGCCTGCCGACCATCAATAAGGCACTGCTGGCCACCGCTGATGGCCGGCAGAACACCTTGCCGCAGCAGATTTCACTCCAGACCTTTTGAGCCAGCTGGTTTTCACTCATCCCTTCTCCGTACACGTGTATGGAGGGATGAAACCCTTTTCAAGCTTGTTTAACAAGCTTTGCATTGCATTCCTCTATATAAGGAGAGGCTCCTCCTCCCTTACAGAGGTTCAGCAACTT